AATAGCTTGGTTTATTTTCTGTTAAAGCACAGTTAAAAATAAAATTACTTGTCATCGTATTACTGATGCCTTTACAAGGTCGACAGGTTGCACAAGTGTAAACACTGAGTGCACAGACGACCGTAGTTTGCTACTGAAGTCAATCGAGTTGACTAAAAGAATAATTAATCACTGTCACCTTCGGCAAGCTATTGCCGACCAAACAAGTTTCTGTGTGTCGGGTACGTCTTACCACGATGCGCGTGCTGGGGTGTAAAGAATACTATCTGATCGGTTTGTTGAACGTTTAGTCTGTCTTTTTTGAATATTGAGTAAAATAACAGTTTATTGCGCAAAAGTGTTGCCCGAGTACAAGCAGCTAGTGATTGCAGTCGATAAATAATCTATCGATTATCTACTGAACGTTGGTCAAGTTTATGCAATAAATAGCCAAACTTGATAAATTTGAATCATCATCGGCGCATTATTCGTCCAACTGCTGGGCGCAGGTTCATTTGAATTATGAAGTTGTTGTAAGTTCACACATAGAGGAAATTCGTTAAGTTTTTCAGTTTAATGCAATATAGATAATCGAATCCACTTGATTTAATTAAAATATATAGTATACAAATTGGTTTCAATACTAGTAGGTCAACTGTCAAAATACGAATTTATATTATTAGAACATCGTAACATTCACATTTCAGAATTAATGACAAAATTTTACCTTCTTTTACAATTCTTTCGATAAAATTGTGGACAACAACTACGTGTCTATTTCAAATTTTACGAAAATTGGCAACTCTACGAATGTCATCATACTCCGTTTTCATAAAAGACAAATTATAGAACAATTTCTTGTGTCTCAGATATACATTTGTATTTATAATGATGTGGTGATTTCGGCAGCAGTCGAATCTGTGTAAATAGTGCATCGACTGCCCCGCTTTTGTCAACCGAATTCGTGTAAACAGTGAGTCGAGTGTACCTCCTATGGCATGGCGAAGTAATCTGTCGAAGGCGGCAATCGACCGTGTGTGAACACACCATAAGAGTTGCATCACATTGTATTGATTACAATTTACGATGAATGTACACGTACAACACGCTTACGGAGTAATTTAAATGTTTCAGAATTTATCGCGTTGTGCAATATTTTTCATTGATGGTCACACATTCTATGTGGAAACTAGTCATTGGCTACGGGATAACTGCCATGCTCTTAGTAAATGCTATCACATGTTTGTTTTTGATGCTTACATTTGAAGGACTCTGTGCTAAATGTAATGAAAAACCATATGACTGGCGGTCTACATTTTATGTGAAAGTATGTATTTACAAATTATAAACAATGATTTATTCTAATTTATGTTATGTGTTATTACATAAACTTTAGGTGTAATTGCAATTCGACACGGTGATAATGATGACATTTTCCTTACTTAATATTTTGACAACCGTTGCTTTTTCTAAGTAATAATTTATCAAAGTCAAAGTCAAAGATTATTTATCAACTCCATAATATAAATAATATAAAATAATATTATCAACGTAAAAATGAGATGAAACTATTTTTTCGGCTCTAAATCGCGTTTATTTGTTTTTTCATACGTAACAAATCGTCGCCTTACTTTCTCAAACTCGTATCTTAAAGCACAAAGTCAAATTATATTCAAAGTTTTCAAGCTGATTTCACATTACATTTTCTTCATATTCACACATTGGCTTTTACCTAGTCTTAAAGTAATGAATCCAAATTAACACCCTTGATAAGAAATTTAAAATAAATGAATAGTTTTACCACCTCCTGAATAATCAATGTTTATAAGATACGAGTTTGAGAATGCAAGGGATCGAAAAGTTATGGACAGTCAGACGTGATCATGGGACCTGTAAAGGGCCTGAAACGTTTGTTTCTTTGAAAAAACAAATATACGCGATTTAGAATCGAAAAAATAGTTTAATTTCCTATGTGCAACAATCGCAACAATATGTGTGTATATATATATATATATATATACACACATGTGTGTATATGTATATATATATATATGTATGTATCTAGCATGTTTTTTAAGTAAGTACCGTTTTGGGATTAAAAAAAGACGTGCGAAGTTATCACAATAATTTTATTTTTATATGAAAGCCTGTACCTTAATCTACTTTTCTACATAATTTCCGTGAATATTGAGGCACTTGTCATAACGTGGCACCAGTTTTTGAATACCCTCCTCATAAAATTCTGCCGCCTGACTTTTTAACCACTACTGTATTACAACTGTTTTGACTTCGTTATCGTCTTGAAGACGCTTACCGCCCAGGTGTTTCTTCAAGTGCAGGAACAAATGGTAGTCGCTGGGCGCTAGATCAAGACTGTATGGAGGATGATTTAGAGTTTTCCATTTAAAAGATTTGATGAGATCTTTGGTCCGATTAGCCACATGTGGACGGGCATTGTCATGGAGCAAAACGATACCCTTACTCATCTTGCCACGTCTTTTGTTCTGGATTGCACGACGCAGATTGTTCAATGTCTCACAATAAGACGCTGCATTGATTGTCTCATTACGAGACAGAAACTCCACTAGCAATACGCCTTTTTTGTCCCAAAAAACTGTGCACATGATTTTCCGGGCAGAAATTGTTTGCTTAAACTTAACTTTTTTGGGTGATGATGAATGTCGCCATTCCATGGATTGTTGTTTGGATTCTGGTGTGACGTAGGCCACCCATGTTTCGTCACCAGTAACAATTTGGTCTAAAAAAACTTCACTTTCATTGTGGTTACCGCTCAAGGAAAGTCAATGCACTGCCTAAACGTTGGGTTTTGTGCAAATCCGTCAACATTTTTGGAACCCAGCGTGAACACAATTTCCGGTATTTCAAGTTCTCGGTCACAATGCGATACAAAACACTACGAGAATATTGAGGAAAGTAGTCGCACAATGATGAAATTGTAAAGCGTCTGTTTTCTCTCACCTTTTTGTCCACTTTCTGCACCAAATCTTCATTAACGACCGAAGGACGCCCACTCCGTTCTTCATCATGCACGTTTGTGCGGCCATCTTTAAATGCTCTCACCCATTTCCTTACCATTCCATCACTCATAATGTTTTGTCCGTAAACTTCACAGATCTCACGATGAATATCCATCGGTTTTGCGCCTTTAGCACTAAGAAATCGTATAACAGCCCGTACTTCACAATCGGCGGGACTTACGATTGTCGGAGGCATCTTAAACACTCAGTAAACAACGTATACATTGAAGAATCAGACTGTAATGATGTCAGTGCGTAGACAAGAGATGTAGGTAACCAGCGCGCATGCGCGGAACGCCGACCGTACCGCGGCGGCGGCAGAATCGCAAAACGGTACTTACTTTAAAAACATGCCTCGTATGTTAAAATAAATTAAAAAACATTTTCTTGTAATTGTTTCAGTATTCCGAATTTACGACAACATTTTATTTACAATATCTACATGGATTTCAATACGTTTTTGGATTCCTAACTCATATTTTACCTGACTATCTTCATCCAAAGACTATTCTAAACTTAATTTTTACAACGTTATTGATGGTTGTTGGTTATGTTATTTATACATTTATTCTCGTACCCAATTTTTACTCTGAGACTTTGTTGAAGCTGCGCCATATATTTGTATTCAACACCCGCGTAAAAAAAATTATATCAGAGACACAAAGAAGAAATCCAAATTCCGATAAGTTTGTTGAACAATATTTTTCTGCTATATGGGATAGTTCGAATGGCATCACCACCATGCCGGACATTGTCTACAGCGTACCCAGACATTTAATATTGAACATAAAGCAGGATCTTGTATGGGCATTTTTCTATCATAGCCCCACTTTTCGAAAAACATCTTTACCCTACAAGAGATGGCTCTGTGAGTATGTGAATTTGGAGATGAAATTGGCTGGAGAACGATTTTTTTCTGGAGTCCACTGTCACTCTAATTTGTATTACATAAAATCGGGAATTGTTCAATTTTTTTCGTCGGATGATGCAACCTCACCTGTGCTTTCAGTATCTAGTGGAACTATTTTTGGGGATATTAGTTTTATAGTACCGCCAGTGAACAGAAAAGTGATGATTCGGTGCTTAACCTACTGCCAAGTGTTTGCGATATCTCGTGCAAGAATTATTTTGTCTCTACATAAGTTTCCAGAAGATCGCCGAAATATATTAACATTAGTAAAACAAAGAGTGAAACATGCACGAGACCTCTATGTTAGTAAAGCATCTGAAAGAGGTAAAGACATAGTCAAAGATGAGGGCATTGATTGGATTAAAAGACGATGGTGGGAGGTTGCTAATATTGTTTCCCATCATAACAGATCAAAACGAGCCTATAACTATGAGCTGCCGCCTGAAGAGAAAAATCACTGCTCTAAGTATATAGGGCAACTTGTTCTTTGTACAGAAAATCGTATGCAGAAAAAATCTATGTTCGTTAAGGATTCATTTCCATGGCTCATCAGAGACCGTTCAATTTTTTTTCGAAATTGGTCATTCATTGTTTGGGTAACAGCTTGTATTGTATTATTGGTGTTTCCTCCAAATATAGTGAGATCAGTGAAAGAAGATCCCACGTGGTTTTCGTATTTGGTGAACTGTGTTGACATAATTTATGCTGCCGACGTACTACTGTTGTTGTTCACGGCTAAGGAGGACCAAGAAAATACACTGACTTCAATTTTGTCGGTCATATCTCACCGTTTCAAGAGTGTATACTTTATACTAGATCTATTCTCAACATCGGGTCTCGATATAATTCTTAAAACAGTTGGTGCATCTAAATTCGTTCGTTTAACCATGTTCAACCGACTTCTTAAAACGTACGTGCTGTTTGTTGATAGACGTTATGTTAAATGGACACGAAATAATCGACCATCTCGAAAAGTATTAAAAAATATTTTTCTGTGGCACGTACTATTTGTATACGTATTGGGATATTTACTATATATGATAATTTTTTTTATTCCCAATATGACAACTCGATATTTTTTTTACAATCACTGCATGGCTTCCAATAACACTAAATGCTTATTCGCCGGTAAAGGGATACTATCCCTTATAGGTACTTACTTCTACAGAATGTTTTTCAATATTGGTGCCGTTGCCTCGTTTAAAACAGCAATTGATTCTACGTTTGAATTATTTTTTATCACTATAATGTACGTGTTGTCCCTTTACACGAGATCATATTTCTTAGGGGCATTATACTTTAAATTCAGAAGCAAAATTCGTTATCAATATTTTGTTCGCAACATAACGAACTATTACGTCAAGCAGAATATTCACCCGGACCTTATGGCAAGACTACAAAGATATTTACGGTGTCACTGGAAATATTTTAGTGGCGTTGATATTACTCATCCGAATCCGCTGAAAGGTGAGGCTTTTGTCATTTACTGGAAGTGCCACGGCGAAACGGCAGTAAGAATCATAAGTGAATCGGAGATACTCAAAGGCGCTGATCCTGCTCTTGTACGAGAACTAGCACAAAAGGCTAAGATTTTATTAATACCCAAAAGAGCGGCTGTGCTGCTATTTGGTATTCAAACGTGTCGAATAAACTGGCTTTTAGAAGTAAGTTATTGTCTCGTTTTTATTTTTACATAAACAATAATGGATAGTCGTAGCCTATATGTAGTCCCACGGGGCACAGACCTCCTGTCACCATGAGACGATACTATTAAACTGCACGCGGGTCCAATGCGGATGGGGAACGTCGCATATATTTTGCCCTCCTTGTCACATGGTCACAACTAACGCATTTGCATTTTGGTAACTTTCGAGATATGAGGGGTTGAAGATCTAGTTTTGCTGATCCCAGATATGTTAATATCTCAATTTCACGAAAAATGTCGATTACGTTAGTTATGATAAGGAGTGTAAGGAAGTGTTATTAAATTGCTTTACAGATATGTGCAGGTTTCTTCAGGATATTTTCCTTCACCGAAATATTGTAAATTAAAATTGTGTAACTCATCAAAACTGTTGTGAGATCTATTTATAAAATAATTTATTTAATGTGTAATAAACATTTCAATCTGAATGCCTTTTTGGCTTTATTTCTGGGGTTATGGAAGCACCACCTTTTTTACTTCTGGAAATCCTCATGACTACGTCAGACTGGTACCGAATGAAACCAGTCGCTTTTCGGTGGGAACATGGGAACTCAGTCGCACACTACAGCGCATAAACCCACCACTACTTTCTAGTACCACCTATAAAATTAATTGATTGATATTTTGCTTGTAGTATTCCATTTATTTATTTTTTATTTTATTTTTTAGGGTGTATTGCGATGCGAGTACCAAAGTGATGCTAATGAAACTATCGTTAACTATGTGCAGCCTGGAAAAGTTTTGTCTGCATTGACAGTGTTGTACAGTGGAACCTCCATACAGACTTTCACCGCAGCTTCCGACTGCGAGGTTATACTTTCTGCCTTCTGGAGTTGCACGACAATCCCTCGACTAATGCTATTTTTGAGTTTTTGAGAAAGCATTGATTTATTATGATAAGTCATATTAAATCGATCTAAACTCTTTGTTTTCACAAAGTCACGACGAGTAGAAATATTCGATCCAGTCAATAGCGTGTAGGGTTAGCACGACATAGAGAATAGCAATATATCGCGTTTATAATAGTCGCTTTTGCGAATGATGCGCCCTACGTACTAACCCTACTGGTCAATTGAAATCTATTTGACTGGGGCCCCTGTATGAGCTTTTATAGCAATCCATTTAATGCCGTACATAGAAATTGTACTTGAAAAGCGTAAGGTCATAGGCTACTACTACATATCGCCTATCGGCATAATTAGTGGAACGACAAACTAGACCCCAGGGGGCCTGCTATGAGCTTATAAGCCAGGCAGCCAAGTTCCTTGTAATTCACGACGTGGTAAAACTGAATTGCTTAAATTCGTATCATGACCTACACAAAGTTGAACGGGAATTGCATGACAGGATGATGAGTTTTACAGGTACTTTTTAAACGTTAATTATTGTCTCTGGCTGGCTAGCTGACATCTAACAAGAGCGAGATGGAAGTACATACTAAATCATACGAAAGAAATAGACAGATGTACTATCATGGGAACGTTCAAGCACTATTAACCGATTGTGTTGAAAATGAGAATAAGTAATTTTTTTATTAATTTTATTATTGATTATATTTACTACGTTGTTTTGTAATATCGACAACTTTTCAATCATACTTTACAATCTGTCGTATGATAAAATTACATGTCATGCCTAGTCATTATCATTGAAATTAATAAGGCGAGTTTGTAATTTAATAATCTCAGTACAGAGTACTAAACAAACCGACCTCAGAAGTCAATCAACCACTAGTTTGCCACTCTTAGAGGTGGAACATTTTCCTGAAATTTTAACGGGACTACTACCTCTTTCCAACAAAAAAGAATAATCAAAATCGGTTCTTAAATGCCGTTATCGGTCACAAGTGAGTTATCGTGTAACATACATACAACAAAATAATCTCTGTACAGAGTACTAAAAAAACCGACCTCAAAAGTACATGGAATTACGTCTATTTTAATTTAAGCTAAATTTTATTGAAATATCCTTAAATTCGCCACTATACAGGACTTGACACTGGAGATAATAAAAATCGGTTCTCACTACTCAAAGTATATATATAAAACGCCTTGAATAAGCCGGAGAAATAGCAAAATCAACAATTAAATAATTGCTCCTTAGTAAAATTTAGGCGCTGTTTATAAAAATGAATCTTATTGCGTGAACAGCCACCCTAGAGGTGGATGATTTTCTTCAAAATGAAATGGGACTACTATGGAAGTACCCCCTTTCCAACAAAAAAAGAATCATGAAAATCGGTTCACAAATACCGGAGTTATCGCGTAACATACATACAAAAAAACAAAAACATTCAGTCGAATTGAGAACCTGCTCCTTTTTTGAAGGCGGTTAATAACATAATGTGAACGTGTATTCGTACATTTTCGTTGATTGCAATATGGTCAAATTTGGCACTATTTAAAAGTTATTTTACGATTTTCGGTTAATAAAATTATTAAAATGATTAAAATTCCATTTAAAAATTGTAATTACATTCATGCCAATAATTTGTCAACAATACTTTAAACATTGGAAACTATAACTAAAATTATCAAAAAACGCTCAATAGTTTATAGTATTTATTTATTCTATAAAGATAACAAATAATTATGAAACTGAAAATATAATTAAACTTAAACGAAATTTCATAAAAATGTAACAAAATCTAAAAAAGTTAGTCACGGAGTAACTTTTTTGAATCGCTTATTTTTACAGATGAGGCCGCTACTTGCATGGCTAATAGCACGTCATGATACGATTTTGCTATGAAAGAAAAGGTGAACGGATATCGAATGGGGAACGTCAACTGCATGGACAATGAATTGTTTATGTGAGGTCATAGTGCGAATTTGACAGGCAATCCAACTTACAGGCTTAAATAGGATTGCTCTAAGAGCTCATAGTAGGCCCCCTGGACGAACTCTTTTACAAGGACCGCTTCTGCTACTCAAATAACAATATTATTATTAATGATTTCTATAGCCTTACATATCGTATCATTATAATAAATTAAAATACTTTGCAGGTAGATAAGAGCTTTCTTAAGAGCACTATTAATTTTCTTTTTTGTTAAACATATTTTCATTTTTTTAAAGCATATACAATCATTGTTTACATGACTTTCAAGTGTGTACTTTTTTTTCTGAGGCATTTAATTTAATTCATCATATTGCAGTAATAGTCAATAAGGATTGTTCTATAAAAGTTCTTTGTAGTACCCGGTAATTTTTGGGAAATAGTTTTTGTTGGTCCGGCTTTGGTTAGTACGATAAAATTTCAATCACGTATATTTGTGACGTTTAGTTTAAAAAAAAATGTGTTACAGATACTGTACATAACGCGCTCTGATTTTTTTGAAACTATTAGACGCTATCCGCTAGAAGCGAGTTTTTTCGAGAATACTTTAAAGGAAATGGAGCCTGAATATACGGCAGTAGTTAACGACTATGTACAGAGGAACAGAGAGGTAAGTTGTATTATTGGACGCTAAAATTTTGCAGAAGTTGACTCGAATACCACAAAATGTTATAATAAATATTTTATATTTCTCCTTATCTGTAACTGAGTGTTTCCTGTATTTCAATTATAATAGTGAGATATAAATTTTCTTTGTTATTACATTTATTATACTAAGATATAAGTGTTCTCTGATACGTCATTTATTATACTTATGTATAAGTATTCTCTACAATAACTGCTTTTCGCCACTAAATTCACGTAATCCAATTAAACACTAAAATAATTGGATAGCCGCCTATCCCGAGTGTTATTAATACGTGGGGCGTACTATATATATATATATATATATATACTAAAGTTTCCGGAATCAATAAGGAAAAAATACTATAAATGGTCAGAAATGAATTTATTGTTTCTCAAAATATTTTCTGTTAGCGTTAATGCACTTTTTCATACAAATGAACCAATTTTGAAAACATTTATGCCACTCCTCCGTGAGAATCTCTGAAATATATTTTTCATACTCTTCGACAGCCTCTTCAGGTGATGAAAATCGTTGACTGCGTAACTGGTTCTTAATTTTTGGAAATAAATAAAAGTCACAAGGTGCCAGGTCCGGACTGTAAGCGGGATGGCTCATAAGGTCAACGTTGGTTACCTTCAAAAATTCATTTGTCTGTCTGGCCGTGTGAGAACTGGCATTATCGTAGTGTAAGATGATACGGCGTTTACGGTTATTTTTACAGAGTTTGTCAATAACTTCTTAATTCACGGTACAACGATTCTCCAAATCAACAGTAGCCACTTGTCTAGTTTTATTAAAAAAAGAAGCTATCATTCGCTTAGATGCACTTTGCACGCGCGCCACTTTGGTTAGTTTCGGCTCGTCTCGAAAGACCCATACGATCGATTGCTACTTTGTTTTGGGATCGTAATTATAAATCTATGTTTCGTCACCTGTTACTATGTCCCACACCAAATTTGTCTCTTCGTTAAATTTGGTAAGCATGGCATTTCACCATGTGACGCGATCCGTTTTTTGAGTCTCAGTCAAATTGTGTGGGATCCACCGACAGCACAGCTTTTTCACACCCAAATGTTTGTGTAGTATTAATTGTAGTTGAATCATGCCTATGCCTAAAGATGCCCGAATCTCATGGTATGTTACATACCTGTCTGTTTCGTTCATACGGCGCACAGCATCGACGTTGTTGTTGTTCACAGCAGTGGATGGACGACCATCACGAAATTCGTCACTGAGATTGACACGACCGCGTTTGAATTCTGCAGACTAGCTATAAATAGTCGTCTCGCATGGTGCTTCATCGCCAAAAGCAGTATGAAGCCGAGCGAAGCTCCGCTGAGCTGTTAAATTATACTTAAAATCGTAGAAAATCATACCACGAAAATTTTCACGAGTTAAATCCACGGTGATGTAGACAACCAATTTCTAAAATGACACCGCAATGTAAAAACAAGTGACAGTCAGATGAAACAAACTTCGAAAACTTTTTTTGTAGAATACAGTTGTGTTCTACAGCCAAAGATTTCCATTTTCAAATGTTGCAATTACTTTTTAAATATTGTTTATGTAAGTGGCCAGTTCCGGAAACTTATAGTGCGCCCTATGTATAAAGGATATATTTTATTTCATTTGAGATTAAGATAGATAGATAGATATACACTTTATTGCTCACACACAAGAACTAGAAGACTACATGATTAACTAAAACTTATAACGGCAAAGGCCGTTGTATCGCTAAGAGCGATCTATTCTAGACAACCTTTGAGGTAGAGGAAAGCTAATCGGAGCGAGAGAAGTAATGTGCCAATTTACAAATAAAAAAATGAATTGAATTATATATAACATCCATTATAATTTATCAAATGCTTAATAAATAAACAACGGTATATTATACCTACACAAATATATGTATAAATAAATATACCTAAATAAACTTACACTTAGTTATAAATATGTACACGTTGCAAACGACCGTGTTAGAAGATATACAGCGTGTCCCAAAATTCAACGATAAGCGGGCGCTGGAGGGTGG